AAAATGACAAGAAAGTGGACTGACTACAACAGAGACAGTAATTCAGGATCAATAACTCTCACCTTGGTCTTCCCCAGTCTTGCTCTTCTTCTGCTTCTCCACGACTAAAAAACCGCTTTCCGATGAAACAAGAACAAGAGCTTATGAGCAATGATGCTTCCCAAGAAGTTTCCCTTGTGCCTGCAAATTAACATTTCCTATCATTGCACAAAATTCCGCATAGTCTATTTTCCCATCCTGCACAAAATTCATTACAAGATTCAGAACCGCGTAAATGTTAACCTGGAAAAGAAGTAAATGTGAAATCATAGAGGGAGATTTACATTATCTGTATCAACTTCTGAAATTAATTTGTCAAGACAAGCTTCATCTTCCATACTGTGTTCCTTCAGAGCTATCTCTAACTCATCCTTGGTTATGTACCTATTGTATAAAAACAAGCAATTCATATTTGATGTTTTCAACATTCTATACATCTCACTAGAAATTTGAATCTTTGATTCTCTTGACGCATTAAACTTACTGGCTACCGTCTTTATCCAAGCGTTGGAATGCTTTGCGCAAACAATCTTCTCTTAACAATCCGTGTCTCTGTACTGTCGCTGCGATAAACTCGTTGTATTCTATTGTTCCATTACCATCCACATCAGCCTGAAACAAAAGTTTATGATATGTGTTCGGATTCTGGTTTCTTGAGATCAACTACAAATGCCGAATAAAAATAGAATGGTTTGTGAATTGTGATACTCACGGCTTCCATGAGTTGTTTCACTTCAGTTTCAGAGATTTTAGAGCCAAGTTTATGCAGACCAGTTTTGAGTTCTTCATATGTGATTGATCCGCTTTTGTCGGTATCCATTTTCTCAAATCTTGTCTTAAGATCTTTGATTTCCTCTTCCGATAGAGTCTCCGCGATAAACTGCAAAACAAACACACAAATCACAACCAAAGTTCACGCACCAGTAGATATGAGATGTTTCAATTGATTAGAGAACACAAAGAGATGGCTATACAAAATAGGCGAGATGCAGAGTTAGTAATTTCATAATTTGTTTTAGCTACTACTACTCTTCTTACCTTGACAGCTAGCTTCTCTATCTTGTTCATAGTTTGGAATTGCTTCAAACGTGTGAAGACAACATCATCAAGAGGCTTATCTGGAGCTTCGTTCTGGATCCAACGATGTTCTATAAACCACAAGGATTGCTATAGTTAGAGATAGCCATAAAAAACTCACTCTGACATTTCAGACAGAAGACGATCAAGACTTCAAGATTTCGCATAGTGTCATGTTCTATAAACTAATTCTGGATTCTTGCATACACTGGAAGAAGTTCACTTCCCCTGTCTCCCACCCACCTAACAACACTAACAATCATGC